AGCAATACGGATTTCGAAAATATAGGTCAACTGGCGATTTACTTACATACGTCACTCACTTATGGCAAAAAGCGATTGAGTTGCGGGGTGAAACAAGAACAATTGCCTTAGATATATCTAAAGCATTCGACAAAGTTTGGCATGAAAATCTGCTCAACAAGCTCAAAGCAATGGGATTATCGCCGAAACTTTGCACTTGGTTTGAAAGTTACCTAAAGGACAGATCCATTTATGTTGCACTGGATGGCCAGAACTCCAACTCTTACCAAATAAATGCTGGTGTGCCACAGGGAGCAATCCTTTCGCCAACTCTTTTCCTGATTTACATAAATGACCTCATAGATAAAACAGTAAATCCACTTTATTGCTTTGCAGACGATGGCAATGTAGTCTCCTCACTCATACCACCCACAGGTCTTTCCGCACGTGAATTCCATCATCTTAGACTAACTCAAATATCGCAGATAAATAACGACCTGGAGATAATAGAGGACTGGGGTAACAAAAACCTTGTACAGTTCAACGCGCAGAAAACCCAAGCAGCTCTGTTTTCAAAAAAGACCAGCACCGGTGAGCCAAACATCATGCTATCTGGAAGTGCTGTCACATTACAGAGTCAGTTGAACATCTTGGGGGTTACTGCAGAGACCAACATGTCTTGGCAGTCACGTGGCAGATATTGCTAAAAGGGCCTCCCAAAAGCTGGGGGTGCTATTTCGTACAAGACATCTGTACACACCAAGCCAATTGCTGACACTCTACAAAGCCCAGATTCGACCAACTATGGAGTACTGCTCACATATATGGAGTGCAGCACCCAAACATACCTTAATGCTTTTGAATACCGTGCAAAAACGAGCTATCAAGCTGATCAATGACCCCGCACTTACTCGTAACTTGGATGGTCTCGAACATCGCAGATCTGTGGGCGATTTATCTCTCCTTCTACAGGTACTATCACGGAAAATGCTCTGAAGAGTTGGCACGTATGATTCCACCGAGAGTAGCACCTACCAGGCGAACCCGTCAAACAGACGGTAACCATGAATTTACTGTCAAACTAGAGGCACCAAGAACCTCATTATATCAGAATTCATATCTCTGGAGAACAGCATCGCTGTGGAATAAACTCCCTGCGACGGTTTTCCCTGCAGGTTACAACCTGAACCGTTTCAAGACCAACATACACCGACATTTCCGCGCACTTGCCGCTTCTCGAGCGCGATAGGACATTTCCTTGCGAGTGCGCATATCCGTAAAAAAAAAAAACAATAAACAATAGAAACGTTAAACCATAGCTCCACCCTTAAACAACCAAGCTATAATAAATAGCAAGACCTTACTGCCTTGGTCCTGGGGGAAAGTCCTTCATTATTTACAAGTTGCGGGCACGATTTCCCACTTATTTTTGCCTATTCTTTTTATTCGTAGAATCAAATCCCGAAACATGTCTTTTGAACTGTGATTTTTGTTCTTTAGCTATTTTCAGAGCCTATTTTTTTTTTTTTTTTTTAAATATTTTCATAGGGTAGGTACCTATTCTTTTTTCATTTAGCCAATTTAGAATGTCTTCCTTCCGCCAGGAACACGAAAGTAATTTTTCTGCTAGTCTGAAATGATAACTGTCGTTCTCTATGACAATGACGTAACCCTTTAGGAATTGAAAAAGAAAAGTACCTAGTCATCAAAAACATCGGCCACTATTTCTTCATTGTAATTGTTGATATCCATTCGAATTCAAGCAAACCTCCATTTTGAAAGCCTGTATCACTAACAATGTGAGTCATAGACCAGTCGGATGGCCATCCACAAATGCCTGACCTGACTGGAATGGTGGACATTTTCATCTTGCCAGAATTTATTAACTGTGTGTCCTTCGTTAACCCACGTTTCGTCCAAGTAATGAAATTCTTTGTTCTCTTCTGTAATTACTAATATTTCTTAGATATTGTCTCTTCCAACAGATTATTTCTTCTTTGTCAATCAAAATCGTGTTTTGCTGATGTGCTTCTCCCAACAAAAGTTTAGCTTGTGTAATATTTTCCACAATCTCTTTCGTCCCATTTCTGGTATATTCTCGTTCGCACCCATTACTGCTAATATTTCATCTGTTGTCGTTATTGATATAAAACGAATGTGCTTTCCTTTGTATTATACTTCCCGCTAGTTCATCAACTTCTAACGGTTTTCCTCCAGGTGATTTTTTAGGCAACTCTACACAGTTATCACTTTCTCTTCCGCTAAGAAGTCTATAGATTGTTGATTCACTGATCCTTGTCATATTGGCACATATGGAGACTATACATTGGATAGAACTTGAAGGCATCTGATTCACAAGTGCATCATGTACATTCAATCCTATAGTCCTGGCTTTGGAATCAAGAACGCCCTTACATTTCGGATTAAAGCCTGATGACATATTTACAAAGAAAACACATACTACACTGTGGGCCAAATTTATTTGGAACCGAATTTGGCTCTGAATATTTTTTCTTTGATTCGGCGGATTTTTGTGAAACTTTGTGTGAATATAAGGGGAGCCTTTCCTTAATTGTAGAAAACATATCTAATCAAAATGTACAGGGGGAGCCAAGTCAGAAGCAGTATTTTTAATCATTGCCTTTGGGGCCGTTGCAAAATTGAATTGTTTACTCTAAAACTGCATAAATTATTTGAAAATATGAAGAAAATATCGGAGGAAAAGCTATGAAAAAATTTTTCAAAAAACTTCAGGTTTTGTATTACCAACGTATTTTTTTCGAAAACATTGTTAAATAATGTTTTTAACTTATTATAATAATAATGTATGGTAATATTATCAAAGTTTTTGAAAAAAATACGTTTTTAATACAAAACCTGAAGTTTTCGAAACATTTTTTCATAGCCTTTTCTCCGACTGAGGAAAAGGAAACAGAGTATTCATAAAAATTTTATTTGTCTATCCGACCAAAATTCACGTGAGATGATGATACGTATCCAATTAAAAGAGTCTGGGGAGCAGGCAGACGGAGCTTCGAAGGATGCCGTTGCCGAACGATATTCCGCGTGACTAAATTCACCAAAATGTATCGTTATAATAGCTTTAAGGTATTATTTTGCGCACTTCATTACTTCGATTTCCACGATGATTCACGGGCATGGTGTGGCCGCACGACGTACGGTTCTTAGAGCAAATGGACCCGGGTTGGATTCTCGTTGAAGGTAATAAAAAAAAATCTCAGTTTTTTTTTTTTCTTTAGGTTGTTTTTTTTTAAGTGGACGGGTTAGTTTCGATTAGCTCTCTTTCGCTAAAAATACCAATATACAAAGGCTAGCACTTTTTACGAACTACGGAGCTCCGTCTGTCTGTTTCTCACACTTTTGTAACTGTCATTTTCAGTATACTGAAATGCAAATTGCTGATGTTGCTAAGCGCGTTACCAAGAGTTTTATATTTTTAACGCCAAAACAACATTGTAGCTATTGATGGTTGTATTAAGAATAAGTAGAACATGCAGTTTACATGAAAAACTTATATTTTGCCCAAGCTAGGTAAACTTCGCACGATTTGCTAAATAATTGCAAAATATGTAAGACGGTCCGGTAAAGCTGACAAGGGCGCAGGCGTATGTAAAGCGAGAAGTTAACCGCAGCCCAAAATTTGTAAACTAGAATTCCATTTATTTTCCTGAAATTTCGCGAGAATTCCTCTAATTTGCGTTGAAAATCGGTATTTTTTACTCTACAAAACTATCACCGCCAGTCTGATATCGATGGCGACTTTTGACACGTTTTTCATAGCTATAACAAAAATCAGGCCAATTGGGATTTTTTCTAAAGTGGAAATCTTATATTACTGATGTAAGAGACAAATATTTACCGTAATATTCAACCTCTAAACAATCATTAATACCAAGTACCCCACTAATCATTACCTTGTTGACAAAAAAAAGATCAATTGGCCCGATAGTTTATTTAAAATTCGAGATTGATAAAGTACTCCATTGGGAAATATTTGCGGTTTATAACGATTATTGTACATATTATTCAAAATGTAATATGAATAAAAGCTGATATTATGAGAATCTACTCTACTGGATTATTGCATGCAATAACATTCAAAATTATAATTATTGTGTTTGAATTCGAAATGGTCATTGGAGTTGTAGGTTCAATGATTACCGGGCTGCATTTATGTATTTTTCGCTGCCCGGAGCGTTTAAATATAGCCTTGGCTTCTAAATTCAATAGAGCCCGGCAAAATTACTGCCTTAGCAGGACAGAACTGATGCAATGGACAAAAAAGAGTTGGCAATCCGGAAGGAAATTGCTATTACAGATGCAAAACAGGCTAGGCAGCGCTCGTTGACGAATACTAAATGTCCTGTGCTTTTTTAAATTTTCTTTTGGAAATTTATATAGATCTCGAGTCGACTTTATCTGTTTTTTACTATCCATCAAAATCTGCATTAGATTGTTCAAATCAAAACAAATTGGATTAGAGGAACAATTTAATTTAAAATCTTAGCATGGGTTCACAAACGCCCACGAACTTTTTGTAACTAAAAACAGGTAATTCACATAGAAATGTTTGTTCATTCTTAGAGTAAATTCTTCCATCAACATGTTTTCGAACATACGATATAGCAAAGTGCCAAGATCCAATTTCAAAATAACTTTCGCTCTTTTATCAAGGTAGTTTTACTTGAAATATGATGTTGCCAGGTTTTTTGAGGTCAAGAAGCAAAAGCTTGTAAATACACGGTTATGGCTATGTTGGTTGAGATATATTGTATATCTTCTAGTATTGCCATACAAAATATCCAATTATAAGAAAATGTGGAACCAAGAAACTATATGTAAAATACTTAATAACCCAATCCAGTACTAACTCAATACTAATGCCAATAAATAATCGCAGGGGCTGGCTAGAACATTTCCAGATCCTACAATCCTAAAATCTATATCCTAACAATAATACAACCCAAAGAATTATACATTCTTTTCTATAGCTAACTAATAACCTTCCAGTAGTCCGTCTTCTGTCATAGCTCAAAGGAGCCCTCCTAATGAACCTTCTAACTTGTGCGGATCGAGCTGAAGACCTTCTTCTTTTCGATTCGGAGTATCTTCTGCTATCGCTGGAAGCGAGTGACGTTCGGGTAGAATCCGTGGAGTCGATTTCGTGTTCGGGTATCGCATCGGAGTCCCTTCTACAATAATCAGATTTTAATTGGTTACAAAAAAATGCGAGTATCAGTTAAAACGGTATCATTTAATCAATGGCCATGGAAACAAAAAATACGATTTAATTAGTATACAAATCTGTACTATACGGAAAAGTTTCAACCAAACGACTGATGAAAAACTTTGTCGTATATTCAATGTATTTGTTCGAAAACTTTTGATTGCTTGAACCTGCATCTTTGTTAAAATTGTAGCAAAGATTTGCAGACTACAAAATTTTCAGAGCTTTAGATAGTGCCATTTCTTACCTAGACATATCTGACGACCATATACTACTAACGCTAGCTCTAGAATCCATTGATCTTTGGCCAATAATTTCATAGCGTCTAGAAGATGTGGAAAATGATGACAGACTTGTGACCGATGGTCTGCTTTCGTTTCCTACGTCGACCGAACTCTCTCTTGAGAATATTGAATACCTAAAAAATAGCAAAGCTAATAAAAATATACAAACTCAAATAGAAGTTTCATACATTGAATAAAAATATAAGAGATATAATATACCAAAAACCACGATGGATATGAGAAATTACAAAAAGTATACTCAAATGAATAAGATTTTGTTGTTGTTTGTTTCACCCTTTCGAACCCATACTTCAGCCTTGGAGACATTTTGTGTCTCATTGCATGGGCTCTACTCCTTCCCATTCATACTTAGAGTGCGGCGTGCCTATCGTACCGTACTACTGCGCTCACCCATTCAACCTCCATCCCGACACCATAAAATGTGGAGAAAATATACCTACTAATAAAAAAACACAACACACCTTTGAACGGAATAAGACTCATAGGAAAGCCGAAGAAGTAATGATTAACAAATAATAGAATAATTAAAACCTACCCACCTCTGTAGAATTTTTCAGAAATATCATCTTCTCATACTCAATAGGTTAGTATAGACTAGATAGTTGCTTGATGAAAATCAAAGACAAAGATAAAAATGAAATAGGTGGATACATATATAATTTACATGAAGACAATGTAAATAACCTACGAGAATTTAAGACAAATCATTCAAGTCTGTAATCTGTCAAAAAAAATGTGCTTTGCGATTGGACTAGAACTCTGGTGACACATCGGCTGATCCCAGTATCAAACAAAGCTAAAATGACCTCAAGAATTTATTTGTTAATAAATTTTGAGGATGCCAAAAAGAATGCAACAACTTCATAGAGGAAGGCGGAACCTATCAAGTCCTAATTAGGGTCAACGTTGTACGTTATTTAATTTTGCAAGAGTTTATTGATATGAATACTGTTTTTTAGTTAGAGTAGTTTTGTTCATTTCATGGATTACCTACTCATCAAGACTATTTTCTGTAATAGGTACATGGTTACTAAAACTCTCAATTTTGAAACCATTTGAAGTATCCAGTATAAATAATAGCCAGTGCACAAGTGCCAGATGAAACATTGTGGAAAAAAGAACACAAGGAAAGTCGAGAAGAATTTCGAAACTGATTTCTATAGAAAGTTTTCTATGAGCGTCAAGTCTTATCCATAATTTAATTTTGGAAAGAGGATTCACAGAATCAAAATGTGAGCTGACAACGTCAATTTGAATGATCGATGAAAACTCCTGAGTGTAATATTCGAAAGTTTTATCTGTAGCCGGGCATTACTAAATAGGAAATTTTTTATTACCTACCGACAAAGAAATATTAGACATGACTTTAAATAATTAAACGGTTTTGCCGGTCTGCAGGTAAGAGGTCTTTGCAGCCGTTACCTGCTTATTATCGCCTTGGGGCATAGTATCTATAAAAAATAATATACGTCATTTTCATTTTTTCAGAAGTATACACAAAAAATGAAAATTGACGTGACCAATAGGAAAGTCGGGAAAGTGTTAATTTGAGAATAACAGGGCCGCAGAAGATTGTTTCTTATTAAGCCCATGGCAACTTTGACAGTGAATATCTTGAGAACTAATCATTCGATTTTCGAAAAAAAAACACGCACTTGTGACGAGAATCAAAATACCTTTAAAACAACGTACCACTCGACCCATTTTCCCTATCTAAAAAAGAGGGGTGGAAGTCACCCCACCCAGGGGGTGCACCCTAGCGAAATAACGATGGGGTCAAAAAATTTCCTCCTTGCACACAAAAATGATGTGTCCGAGCGTTTTTCTTTTTAAATCGACCGTAAAATACCCTAAAACGCCTCTGTTTCGATATTCGTGAAACATCCTGTGTCACAAAGATCGATTGCTCACCTAGATCTATGACTGTCAGCGGACATCCTTGTTATATTGGACATCTCACTTAAAAATTCTCCTAGTTCCGGACTGGGGGTTGGAGAATATGTTGGCTCTGGGGAAGGGGTATACGATTGCGATATCTCCTCAATCTCTTTACTGTCATCATTTTCTTCTTGAGCTTGGCTTGCTGATTTCTTTCGTTTCTCTTTAACTACCGAATAAATACCTGAAATTTAATTTCAAACGATACTGATCTAATGAATTAGCTACGATGTAGATATAAAAGTTTAATGGGCTGGCTTTGCTTTTGAAAACATGGATTCGCAGTTTAATTTTTAGTTTTCTTCAACCACAATGATATTAGTTCATATATCAAAGAGATGTTGCGAAAATCTGATTGACTATTTTTTGAATTATTAGCTATGAATAGAAGTTCATGTGGAACCTGTGCGCACCCAAATCCTTACCCTAACTGAGCCACGGACTGAAAATAAGATGGCAGGTCATTCATTGGCCAGAGCTTTGAATGAATTTCTGCTGCACAAGTAAGGTTGCACTTTAACACATTTTGGTGTAATTCATTCTTGGCCTGAGTCTATATTTTCTACGTGAACGCAGTTTTGTCCATAATCTACTAATCATACTAGAAAAAGTTAATACATACCATTATACATTCCAATTCTTTTCTCATTCTGTCCCATCTTGAGTATCGAGTCGGACTGATCTCCAAGACTGTTCCCACTCACTCCACCTTCTTCTGGGGTCAAACTATTGGGAGGTGTAACCCTACCAGTCACCGATTTGGTTATGTTTCGTATCAGGGACCATAGCATAAACAGTAAGGTCAGCATTTCACAGACGTTTTGTCGTCGTTGTGCTACATCATCAAATACCTTGGAGGATACAATCGAGAAAGTTGTGGAAGGACGTACATTTTACTTTTGTAATTATTGCTAAAATTAATTTTTCTAAATTAGGAATGATGAGGAAAAATAAGTTAAGGTTAAATACCTATAAATCCTAAGCTCATATTTTAGGAAATATCTGGTTTTAATTTTAAGAGCTCATTGAAACATTCAAAATAAAGCCTAAAATATTTGAAAAACAGTATAACATTTTTTTTTAAAATTCTTCTCACAATATTGGAAGCAGACAAAACAAATATAAATTTTCCATATTCATGAAAGCCCTCAGCTTATTAAACATTATTATTTTCTTCTTGAAATAACAGCATTTTCCAGTTAATCCTATTTTTTGTTATAGTATTGATCGAAATAAAATAAAAGAACGAAAATAAATCTGAACAGCGACTTTTTCAAGAAAAAAACTTTTTTGTTTGGGAAAGAAATGATTTTATTGGATGTTCTCAAGCCAAATGAAAATTGGCTAAAGAATGGCAACTGGAAGGAGAAAACCCGATAAAAATGTTTGACACTTATTTTCTCGATTGAAAAACCTAAATTAACGTAAGGGTGTGTCAATTAAATAGAAAAAAAAACCGGAACTTGATTCATACATATATTTTACTCGATATCTGGAACACTGAGGCAACATTATGCATAGATTGTTTATTTTTTTTTCGGATTGGGCCGTAATCGACCTCTTAACGATTAGGAGTTGCAAGTCAAATTGGAAACCCTTTGAGCAGTGATAAGGGATTGGATTTTTCGGATACCAACAGTGTAGCAAATCCAAATTACGATGAATTGGAATGGGTGGTATAAAGGCTACTGCGAAACAAGATAGATCATCAGATCAGCAAATTCAAACTGAGATGCAAAGAGGAAATGGTCAGCTCCTGCCACCAACAGATGTGCGATATGACCATTTCCTCACTGCCAAGTTTTTACTCGAAAAATGACAAAATGCAATCTTCCAGGCTCCTACAAATAAACTAATCTCTTGCGAAAAATGCGGGATACCTACTCCAATACGATTATCAAAGTGAAAATAAAAAAGATAAATTATGCAATATTTGTCCTTTAGCATTAACCTATCCGGGCCTTAATTCCCAGAGGATATGTAATGAACTCATTTGTAAATGGTCCGGAAAATAACACGTCACCCCACTGGGACTAACACAAAAATTGCCATGGGAAAAAGGAAAATTAACCTTTCCGTTAAACAGATAAAGAAGGAAGTGGAAAATACTGCCTTTAGGTAAACTGGTATACGTTTTAAGGTAAATATTTTAACTACTAGCTGGGGTACGGCTTCGCTCCGGGAGTTGATATGAGATTGTATGGTGTGGTAGTTGGAATAAAAAAATAAACTGTAAAATAAAGGAGGTACAAATTTTTTATTGAAATATTTTCTAACTACCAAACTTGTTAATAAACAACATTTTTCATTTTGGTATCCGGGGTATATAATTTTTCTGATTTCCTACTAGAGTCTTTGAGGTTGATGCCGCAATATTTTAAAGTTTGTCTTTGTGCTTTGTTAAATGTGAAACTACACGCTAATTTGATTGGAAATTGCAGTCTTTTGAATTGGAATGGCAGTTCAGTAGAGATCAGTGGTATTCTGGGGATAAATACTGTGTGTTCTTTGTCCTTTCCAGTCATAAGTTCGGCTTCGATGATGTTATTCAATATCTGCTTGACGATTATCCTTGTTCCATTACATAGTGACTACGTTTATTTCACGCGTTGTTTCGAATACTAAGTGGATTAAGAATTATTAAGCTCTATTTGTTTATTTCACAACTATTATGGATTAAGATAAGTGCTAATCCTTTCTTAAACCTTATTAAAAGCGCAAGCGCAATCTCACATCGGTTTTTCATCAAAAAATATTCAAATAAAATAAATGAAACTAAATAACATCCACCCTCCAAAAAATGGCAAATGTTATTTTTTCTTGAACTTGAACAAACTATTAAATCCGAGATTTGAGGTGTTTATTTTATATTTGAGATAATCTATTTTAAGTCCAATCCTACAAATTTAGAGGATTGGATTAAGTACTCCGATCCAGATAAACTCTCTAATCCTGGGTGTTTATTTCAGGATTACTAATCCAATCCACTTAATATCCGGATACAACGCGTGAAATAAAAATAGTCAATTTTTGTAAATTGAGATTTCTGAGTAGTATGATTGGAGATCCAATTTTCAGTCGAAGGCATTAGGCCTATTCGGGTTTGGAAAAAGGACGGTTCTAGAACGGTTCAAAACAATCGTCCAGTTTAAAGATCAACAAAATAACAACGACTGGACTATCACAAATTTCAATAATAAACTGTGCGATTCTTCTGGACCGTTCTAGAACCGTACTTTTTCCAAACCCGAATAGGCCTATAGTAGTGGCATTCCTGGTACTTCCAAAGAATTTGAAAATTCTGTAGGGAATTTGACACTTTCTACAACGTTTACCATCGTGTCGATCGATTTGTATAATATTTTCTCTTCACTGGGAATTTTCTTTTGAATATGAAAATTAATATCGTCAACAATATTATTTTTAGTTGCTGAAATTGACCTCTGAAATAGTCATTCCGGATTAGTATGTTTAAGAATAATGGATAAATTTGATCGATGAGTTCATTTTCAGTAGTGGCTATGTTGCAGATATCACTGTTGAGTTCAATGAGGCCGGTCGTCTGGTCAGTAGGATATGTGCCTTCGCCTATTTGTAAAAGGTGTTGAGCAAAATGTGCTGTTGTTTCATCTTTTGATAGTTCAACTCTCATATTTTTTGTTAGTCGCTGTAATTGTATGTGTGGCCAGAGATATAATTTTTTTAAGCATGCGTTGATTTCGTCTGCTGGTGTAGACTTGGGGATAACTGAAAGTGTTTGTCGAAAATCTCCTGAGTGTATGAGTAGAGCTCCTCCCATCACATCAGAGTTTCCTCGCAAGTCTTTTAATGTTCTGCCCATGGCTTCGAGTAATTTTTTATGTGCCATCGTGCATTCGTCCCAGATAGATAATTTTAGCTTGTTTTAGAAGTTCACCTCGTCCAGATCTCTTGAGATTTTACATACCGGAAATTGTTTTTCGGATATATTCGACGGTAATTTAGGGCGGAATAGGCAGTTCGTCTTCCTTCCATAAGTGTGGCGGCAATGCCAGATGATGCCAGTGCAAGTGCGATGCGTTGTTTATAGCACGTATTTCTGTCAACAATAGATTTATTAGAAGCGTTTTTCCGGTGCCGCCTGGTGCGTTCAAGCGAATAATTCCGCCAGTGTTGTTGTTGCTCCGGTCCATGATAACGATTTTTTTTTTTTTTGATTTTCATTGAGAAGCGGATTTTTGTAAGCAATGTATTCGAGTAGTTCGTTGATGCTATCTTGTCGTGATGCTGGCATCCCAAGTTTTACTAAGGTCTGGTTTTTTATCACCAAGCATTTATCTGCTAGACGAATGAGTGTTTCATTGAATATCGTCGTTGAAATTGATGGCCAGTTCCGGATTAGCTTGTCGGATTTCGTACAGTATGTCATCACATACTCTCTTTGAAGGAGTCTCATAGCTGTTTTGGATTCGATGGGTTACGTGTTGTCAGAATTATGGCGAATAAGTCTCTGACTTGCTCAGCTGAGGCTGTGAGTGAGACTTCTTGTAAAGTTACTATCCAGTGGTTGTCCGTTTTCTAGTAGTCTTAAACATTGGCATGCTTCTCTGTACGTCTGGCATTGGTAATAGTCTTGAGGTCTATGCAATTTTTTGGTATTTCGTATAGTAACATCCGGAGATAGAAACATTCGGCGTTGTTCGGATGGACGGTGTATACTGTGTGCATTGGTTTTCATAATCCCTGGAGGATCCTCTACTGGAATTCCTTGTTTTTCGTTGGAAGATTTTGTAAGTTCTTTTGGCACAGTTCAAAAAAAACTGTTAATGTTGTGTTCTTAGGTGGTTCGCTTGCAATTTTTCTGGCATTGTCTTTTGTGAAGTAAGCTCTCTGTCCATTTTCTAAATGTACTGCTAGATGCTGCACAGTTGGTTCGTGTTGGTGTATAGGATAACCGGACATCCGCCACGCTGCATCGTTACTGTTGAATAGTATAGTATACTCTACTTTATTTACCACAAATTAATTTATTTGAGATTTTCTTTTCAAAAACGCTCGTTGTTCATCCACCTGAATGCAAATATACAAGCACTACGCGTTTGACACTGACACTTTCGAGTTTGCTTACACGTTTGCTTATATTGTTTCCATGGTACTACTTGTTTAATTTGAGAAATTTTGTGATTGGTGTGCAAGCGGGAATGATGACCAATAATCCCATTTGGTACATAAGAATCTCGTCGTTTCTGTTTATTGTTTGACTTTTTGAAATACAGCCTTTGTTTACATACAGACATATTTGATAGATTTCACTAAATTGCAGTATTCTACGTTTATGAGTAGGTACTTGGAACATTTTGGAAAGTTGTGGGGTATATGGTACTATCCAGTGATTATCTATTTCCAGTTCGTCTCTCCCTCGTATTCGGATTTTGGCTGTGTTGGGTATTCGTCATCTGTATTTGGGATAGCCATCATCTCCAGTTTGTGTGTCGTCCAAGTAAGGTTTTGGGTATTTTTTTTGTACATTTTCCATCACTCCCACATGGCGAATTGGGGTTTAATGGCCCACGTGGTCCGTAAATCATGTTTTTTATAACTATGCCGTACAGCTGCGGATCTTCTTGTAGAATGGAAAATTCAGCTTGGATAATTTTGTCAATATCCGTGGGATGAATTCTGTCGTGGAGCCAGATGAGATTTTGTAAATGAGGCAGTCCTCGTTTTTGCCATTCAATTGTATACATCCAGCCTCTAGCGGTTCTAAAGATGTGGTATTTTGTGATGACCTCAATAAATATAATTTGTTTTTGTCGGAAAACTCGAGCCATTATATCGTGTCAATCCATGGCGACTTATCCGTATCTTAGTTGTTCTTTGATTTCTGGCCACAATGAGTTGCATGTGAATGTTATGAAGAGGTCAGGTCGTC